TAGCTTGGTCATAGATGCTCAGCGAGGGATTCTCCATCACCAGAGATGCTGGTACCCTGTGTCCTGGAGTGGTTTTTTCTTTTTGTTAATTCCGCTACCATGTTAAGGGGGGGGGTGAATTGGCCACCTGCACTTACCAAGCGAAACGCAGAGGTAAATCTCTACTCCACGTTGGTATTCTGTGAGGTTGTGGTACCAAAATGTAATTTTAGCGTAAATTTAAGAAATCATTATAAAAGACCATTACCTCAAGTTAACAGTATTTGAAAAATATTTTTCTATTTAGTTATTTAACGAAAGGAAGATAGAAGAAGCATTAAAATGAAGGAAAACAATTTTCAACCATTTAGAACCATTTTCAAATGAAATTAAATAACTTTGAGAAGCTGGAATTTCTTTGCAATAGCATTATTTTATAAGCCAAGCAGGCTTATAAAATAATGCTTATAAATTAAGAACTCGAATCTTGTTTGGTTCATAAGGAAATTTTATTAGTCTTGTAAAATTTTTATACAAAGAAAATAACTTTTAGTTTTTATGGTTTTAAAGTTTCTTATGTTTAAAAACAAGGTTTACGTTGATTTTGTGTCCAGGAGAACATTAAGTACGGTGAGAACTCGGGGAACAGGCGAATTGGCGCGCGCAACTGTGCGTGCCCATGGTACGGCAAAAGATGTATGCTTAGTATTACGAGGGTAGTTATATGGTACAAAATTCGACACAGTTCGCCACAATAATTTTTTTGAGTATGCTTATGTTACACTTAGAACTGTTTCTGGGTCGAAAGAAATTTCGACGTCAACTGTCCAAAAGCCGAAAGATCGAAGACAGCAGTCAAAAGCACTTAGTTGTCGGCTAAACCCGATTTTAGGACAAACTATTTTTCCTAGGCTTTTGTAAAATAACTAACACTTTTTTTACTAAATAGTCTTGGTTAATTGGTTGCAAAACATATGTTAGTGTTATAATTTGCTATGTGTTCAAAACTAAACATTCAAATACTGTCTGTAAGTAAAATGCTTTTACTTTTAAAATAAATGGGTAAAAAAGTGTTAACTATGAGTTTAGCCGATATTTTAGAGACAAGTAAAATGCTCTGTGTTTTCATTATTATGGAGAGCTTTTATGGCTCATTCATTCTCTAATTTTACTTCCCATAAACCTTATAAATTCAATTTATTACTCAAGTTATATTAAAAGAAGGCATTTTAGTGCTTGAACGCAAATTTTGCAAATGCGACTCTATTTCATTAAAAAAATCTTTGTAAAAGGAAATTGTGTTTTATGGGACAGAGCATAGAACGCCTTTTAATATTTTATCCTGTGGTACTGGTGTAAGAGATTTCAACACTTCATTACGGCCCGTGGTTACCGAATATGGCGATTGTGGGATATGCCATTCTTCTGGTTTCCGAAAAATGACGATATAAACATTTATTTACACTATTCGTAAAATTCCCTGACCAGCAAAAGGGGACAGCATTACACGCGAGATATCTGCCATTGTGATTGCCAATTCGTTTGCCAAGTGTGGTGATTAAGACAAATCCTTCATTCAACGGAAGAGACCCGTGTCCAACAGTCGCATTTAGCGGACTGGTAACGAAGGAAGAAGAAGAAATAGTTGGCATCAACAGCAACACGGCGACTGTGTGGGCATGGACGAAGATGGACCAACCTCTTCCATAACCATGTTTCATTGCGACAACTTCCTAATCAGAGCACAGACATAAAAAATTGATTACAAGCCGTAATGATCCATAGTGACATAGTGAGAATGAAATCGTGATTAAGTCAAAGTCGTGAATTTATTCTAGGCATTGTCATCCATACTTAATATGTCTGCATAATTTTAGTTTTTTCAGACGCCCATTAGGTAATGAAAACATTATTGTAAAATTTTAATGCATATATGGCAAGCTTGCTACCTAGATTTTGTCCTGTATCGTAGGCACACTTTACACACAAAAATTGCACAAATAAAATAACTAAGAAAGTAACATATATTTGTAGGTCATATTTCGGATGTTAGGATCGTAACTCGCGGTTCTGCAATATGTCTACCAAACTCCTGCGCTACTGACCTGTTGGGTAATTTATATTAGCTGACGCAATCTTGGAAAATCTTTAAAGAACGGAGATGAGAGACAAGATGACATCCTGGATAGATATAAAATACTTATTTCCCAGTTATTATACCGTAACATCAAAGATTTTATTGAAAGTAATTTGAGATGCCGTGTTGTCTCAATAGCTATCATTAAATTGTACTTCCGCATGTGTTGAAGCTAACTAAGAAATCTAGCTGTGCCCGCGACTTCATTTGCGCATACAATCTTAGTCACAATCCCATCTTATGGTAAATGGTGATGAATCTTTATATGGTAAATCACACTGTCTCAACGTAACAAAAGCCTCTTCACTCTTGCCTTGAAAACGCATCGATTGAATTAGGACGCAAAGACAGACGCTGGCAAATTATTTCACTCTTTAGCTGTACGCATTACGAAAGGCGAAGTAAACTGTTTTGTGTTAATACGCGGAATATAGACAATAAAGTGATGAAAACCCGCCGACCACCTGGTTTTCCGATGGTGGAAACGGGAGCTAGGAATTAAAACATGTAATTTCTGTGCACATTTTCCGAAACGCAAACAATTTTAAATTATAATGTATAATTAAATTGAAGAAGGGGTTCTTGAAAATTGTTGTTATGTTAGTGAAATCATTTATATAAACGATGTTTAAAATAAAAATTTTAATCATGTACATATTAGCAGTATCGTTTTAAATTTATTAATCTTTTAATAAATTTAAAAGGGATAAATAAACTTAAGTCTCACTGGCCATTTTATCCATCTACCACAGAGTCTCTGAGGAATTGTTTGGACTTTATTTATCGCACATCGCGACAAAATTCGCGATGTGCGATGAATAATAATAAAAAAATAAAAATAATCGATACAATCTAGACGACTGGCGGTCCACCACCAAGCGCTTCAAAAGAAGTTTGATTCTATGGTGATTCCACTGATTCCACAACTTCCTTATGGAATCAGCAACCACCAAGAAAAAAAAGAACCTTCAAGAAAAGAGCCTATTCCTTTTTAAAAGGCCGGCAACTTATCTGCAATCGCCTGGTGTTGCACCTGTTCATGGGCGGCAGTAATCACTTACCATCAGGTGAACTGTATGCCCGTTTACCAACTCTCCTATAAAAAAGGTACCTACTCTTAGTTTGGTCCATTTTTGGTATATCGCCAATGTGGTAGATAAACTTTCGTCTAAGAAGGCCCTTTCCAACTCTTTCGCTTACTTCTGCAACATAAATTTGCGTTATCACTCTTTCCTCATTCATTCTTTCTACATTACCAAACCACCGAAGCAATTCTTTATTAGTCCTGGTCACAATATCATCTTGCAAACCAGAGTATTCTCTTATCACATAATATCTCATCTCGTCACTCAGATTCAGCCCTAACATACTCTTTAATAACCGCGTTTCTACTGCGCTTATTCTACTCTCGTGATTCTTCTATCACACCCAACTTTCACTACCATACGTTAGAGTAAGGACTAGCACAGCATTGAGAATTGCCAAACGTACCTTTCTTGACACATACTAACATTCCACTACAAAGTGCAAAGCCCCATTTACGCTATTTTCTGCGATGACTCGTCGTTAATTATCCTTGTCATATCTCCCATCCCTGCTAAATACACATCCGAAATATACAAACTCATATACTTGCTCGACCAACTCCCCTACTATTTTTATTTCAATGAATGGTAATCACTTACCATCAGGTGAGCCGTATGCTTGTTTGCCCCTTCTCCTATAAAAAAACTGAACTTCCAGCGGGAAGTGGCCACTGCAGCCCATGGATACTTGTAGCGAACTTCATACAAAAAGGCATTTCATTCATACAAAGATGCGTTAGCATTTTCGTTTTTTTACTTTTAAAAATCTCATAATACATTTATCCATGTTTTTTTGTTCTGTTAATTAATTTAATTTAATACAACTCAATAATATTAAAATTTATTTTAGAATATATTCTCGATATCTCTATATTTTCTTATCTAATACATAACCTTCTCAGAATATTAGGTAGCTTGTGCCCAGCAATGGCATGTTCTTTTGAATGATAAAATCCGTTAAATTATGTCTTAATTCATTCTATGCTTTTATTACTACCATAAAATGTACACTGAAATTACTTTTTACTTTAACGACTCTTTACCTACTTTCTGGAGACATATATATGCTGGTGTTTACTTGCTAGTCTTAAAAATACGCTTATGAATTTAGTTATATAGACCCTGAAGCCTGGAGATTGTTACATGATTTGGTAAAAGTGTATTGAGCTAAGTCTACACTGCGACGTAACCACTAACTAAAGATCACTAAAGATCGGATGCGAGATATCAGAGAACGCCGTGTTTGAAACAAAGAAAGAAACTTTTATTGCAACATGCCACAAAAATCATTAGGCATTTAAATTTTGATATTTGTAGACACATCAATAATTATTAGAATTATAATAAAATTAAAAAAAAATACAACTTAACGGATATAACATTTAAAAAATTGTATAGTTATTGTAATCGTCGTCCAAACAAGCTTTCGTAGTAGACGTGTTATCGGTCTATCTAATGAAATACCCGATTCGTGCAACGCGATTTTGTGTAAAACAGGTGAACGACATAGTAATCTTTGCTATTGTCTCGTGAGTGCATAGTGCGTTTTTAATAAACATTTATAAAAAAAACAGCTCTGTCGCGCTGCTGTTAATTTGCGGTAAGACCTGCCGCACCCCCGCCGCGATAAGAGATAGTCGACATAATTGCTGTCCCACTTTCGCACCTGCTTGTGCTACCTGTGCGGACCATCGCACGTCAAACCCAGTTGTTTATAATAAAAAACACTCACCATGCATCAATGCGCCGCTTGTCATTCAACGATTGACGATTACGATTTCTTAGAATGCTGCAACTGTTTACGTTTTTATCATGGCCAGTGCGTTGGTGTTTCGCCCACCGAATTCGAGAGACTCTCTTCTGACACCAAGATGAGTTGGAATATGCCCTGAGTGTCGCAGCAAAACACCGCGCAGTGATAATTCGAATACGCCGGTCCATCCGTCAACACCTACTAGTAGTTCCCACGCCGACGCCAATGTGACATCACGCCGTGGAAAGCAGGGAACGTCCAAACAAGCGGCCATAGTCGCTTCCGTAGCCGCGCAAAGCGGCTGCTCCGGCTCATGTGTGTCGCGCGTGGAGCTGCGTACCATTATGCAGGTGGAACTTCGAGATTTCATTAAGGAATGTATTAGGGAGATAAAGGAGGACTTAAACAGGGAATTGAAAGCTTTTAGGAACGAAGTTGGTTCTATAAAGGATTCCATAAATTTTATTAGCGACTCTTTTGACAAACTAAACACTGAAATTAATACATGTAAAAGCAACATTGAGACGATCTTAAAGGAGAAGGAATGCCTCCGGAATGAATTAAACTCTATCACCAGTCGCTTTAACCAACTCGAACAAATCTCCCGCGCCTCAAACTTGGAAATCCAATGCGTTCCAGAAAGGAAGTCTGAAAACCTATTGTCCATTGTTAAGTAACTTGGTAAAACCGTATCTTGTCCTATAAATGAAGCGGATATATTTTACTGTTCACGTATTGCGAAAAAGAATCCTGAGAGTCCACGTCCCCGCTCAATTTTAATTAAGTTAAAAAGCCCTCGCTCGCGAGATACGCTTTTGGCCGCAACTATAAAGTACAATAAACATCATACGCAAGATAGACTGAACACCGGGCATCTCGGCTTCGGAACAGAAAAAAAGACTGCCATATACGTAACAGAAAATCTGTCGCCTGAAAATAAGTATCTCCATGCTCGGCGCGCGCTCGAGCTAGGGAGCTGCAGTATAAGCATGTATGGGTTCGAGGCGGCCGCATTTACATGCGAAAGACGGATACATCGGAACACATACTTGTGCGAAACTCAACAACATTGGAACGGTTATCGTAAGCAGTTAATAAGGCTTAAATTTTAATACGTTAAATATTTACTATCAAAACGTACGCGGCTTCCGCACAAAAACCACAGAGTTTTATAATAGTGTATTAAGTTCTAATTACGAAGTCATTTTCTTATGCAATACATGGCTTAACAATACTATATACGATGGCGAACTTTTTAGTGAGCGATATCTAGTGTACAGGCGCGACCGGGAGACTAGTGGCTTCCATAGTAATAAACCTGGCCCTGGTGGCGGGGTGCTCATTGCAGTATCCAAACATATCTGCTCTCGTAGGATGTCACATCTGGAAAGCGACTGTGAGGATGTATGGTAAGAGATAATTCCTCTGAAATATATTATTGTGTTGTGTATATCTTCCCTCACCTTTACAAAAAAACATTCTTGATTGTTACATTGAAAATACAATTATTAATTAATATACATTAATTATGGGCGACTTCAATTTGGGTAACATTATATGGGATAAACGTAATACGTCTTCTCCACTCATTTTTATAACCAAAAGCTCATTAGATAATGCTCTACTGGATTTTATTGCTCTTAATAATCTCACTCAATATAACTATATTTTAAATGACAAAGGTAGTATTCTTGATCTAGTTCTCTCCAGCACGCTGAAGGTCAGTGGTGTGGTGCGTGGTGACTCTCTTCTGAGTAACCCCGACTCTCACCACCCTCCCTTAGTTCTAACATTTTCGTGTTGTGATCCGCCAAGTTTATTGCCTAACGCTCAAAGCCAAAGATGTAATTTTCATAAGGCGGACTACGATAGAATCGTAACACATTTAAATTCAGTTTCATGGGACCGTATACAATCATCATGTTCGGTTGATGTCATGGTAAGAGAATTTTATGCTATTTTAATAGACACGATTACTAAATACGTTCGAAAATGTAAACTCTCCACAAAAAAGTTTCCAGTATGATACACAAAGGAACTCATACATCTCCTCAAGGAAAAAACAAACTTCGTTTGAGGTACCGTAAATAAAAAAAATCCACTGGACGAACTTGCATTACAAACACTTAGCAAAAGATGCGCCGAATTAATAAGCACCTGTCATAAAAACTATGTCGCGGATCTGGAGGGAGCACTTTCCAAAAATCCAAAGTTATTCTGGACGTTCATAAAAAATAAAAAATGTAATAGCAATGCTTACCCTACATCCATGACCTTCGGAGATGACAAAGCAGATAATGGTGACGGCATATGCAATCTCTTTGCCTCATTTTTTGCATCGGTGTATAACACTAGCTCAGTACTGTCTGTGACCACTGTTGACCAAATTTGTACCTCAAATAATCTTGCTAATCTGCATTTCTCACAAGATCAAGTACTCAAAACTCTTACTGGTCTAGATCGGGCCAAAGGAGCTGGACCTGACAACATACCCGCTTTGTTTGTAATCAACTGCCGCGAAGCGTTATCCTTGCCTATAACAACCATTTTCAATATGTCTTTAAAAACGGGTACTTTCCCTTCGGTCTGGAAACAGGCACGTATTGTCCCAATTTATAAATCAGGAGACGCAGGATCCGTCAGAAATTACAGACCAATATCCATATTGTCTGTCTTCGCTAAAGTTTTTGAATCATTAGTTTGTCCTGTTTTGGCTTGGCACATAAAACAAATAATCTCACTCCAACAATCGGGCTTTTTAACATCTCGCTCTATAGCTACATCTCGTTTTGTTTGTGGACTATGTCTCCAAGTCTCTCGATTCCCGCTTGTCTGTGGACATCATCTACACAGACTTCAGTAAGGCGTTTGACATTGTAGATCATAACATCTGACTTCACAAACTCTAAATTTTGGGCATCATTGGCAATCTTCTCGAATGGTTCTCTTCATACCTCAGGCAGAGAAAATCGAGAGTTGTGGTAAATGGTTACTCCTCAGAACCATTTCTACCTACATTGATTAAAACTACTTTTACGGATTTTATCGCGTTTTATTTATATTAATTTTAATACCCGACGTTTCGGGTGCTTTCCAGCACCCATGGTCACGGGGGACTGAGGTGACTGACGTCCCGATGTCAAAGTTAACCCGGAGTACCTTCAGCTTTTTAATTATTGTCTTTGGTCCGATCTACGCAGATTGAACTAACTGTATTTTGAAGTCTTGCAGTGGTATTCTATTCTTCTATTAGAACATTCTACAAGCCGCCGAAGAAGATTAGTCAGTTCTTACCATCCGTCAAGTGTCATATTCCTCTACAAGATGCAGGAGTGTAAAAGCTTGATTATGATTGTGGTCTCTCATATATAGGGCAAACAAAGAGATCAATTAGAACCCGCGTAAAAGAACACATAGCTGACGTGAAGCATCAACGTTCCGGGAAGTCTGCAGTTTGCAATCATATTCTAGATGGCCCCAACCATTACATCAGATTTGATAGACCACAAATCCTCGCGAAAGAACATCGATTCCTACCAAGGATGATATGTGAGGCTATTGAAATTAAAAAACATCCTAATTTCAATAGAGAAGGAGGCTGGGTACTACCACCTACTTTGAATCCTATAATTAATAAAATTAAAACTAAACCCAAGCATACCACTGCAAGACTTCAAAATACAGTTAGTTCATTCTGCGTAGATCGGACCAAAGACAATAATTAAAAAGCTGAAGGTACTCCGGGTTAACTTTGACATCGGGACGTCAGTCACCTCAGTCCCCCGTGACCATGGGTGCTGGAAAGCACCCGAAACGTCGGGTATTAAAATTAATATAAATAAAACGCGATAAAATCCGTAAAAGTAGTTTTAATCAATGTATAGTGTTCGCGTAAATATAAGAAATCATTACATTTCTACCTACGTCTGGTATTACTCAGGGTTTCCATCTCGGTCCGATCCTTTTCAATATTTTTATAAATGACCTAGCGTCTGTTTTTAAACACGCGACCTGCTTTATGTACGCAGATGATACGAAATTGTCCTTGAAAATCAAAGAACACAGTGACTCACTCCTATTGCAAGAGGATTTGGACCGGATGTCTTTGTTGTGCATTAAGAACAGACTATTTTTGAACCTCGATAAATGTAAAATTATAAGATTCTCAAGGTGTGTAAATGTTCCGACACCTATGTATAATATTGACGATCATCCTTTGGTAGAAGTGGACTGTGTTCGAGATCTGGGTGTGATTCTGGACAAAAAGTTGCGGTTTTATAAACACGTTGATGGAATTGTTACAAGAGGTCTTCAAATGTTGGGGTTCGTGTTGCGTAATTCTAAAGAATTTAAGAGGACCTCTACAAAAATATCCTTGTACAAGTCTTTAGTCCGTTCCAGCCTCGAATACTGTAGTCAAGTCTGGTCTCCATTTTATGACCTTTACGTGAAACGCATAGAGCGTATCCAGAAGCGTTTTTGTGGTATCTTTCGTACACCCCAGAAGACCGGCTTTTCTGGATTTCATGTTGTAATCGTCAATAGAACCGTAGACTGTCCATACCTATTAAGTGCAATAAATTTCAAGGTACCTTTTAAGCTGGTGCGTGTCAGCCGATACATCCCTTTTCAGTTGAAGGCAGTAAAACTAATTTGGGTCACTACGCCACCATAAACAGGTTACAGAGGTAATATAACCAGCTCTGCAAGACATGTGACATTGATATTTTGCTGATAAGCCTCAAAAATTCAAACGAAAAATTACGCAGTCCTTTACTTTTAACTAACATTTAGACCTAGTTTTAAGTTTATCGTTGTAAGTTTTAAAAACATATTCGTTGTCCACATTGCATGCCGTGGCAACCTTTAATTAAGATGACACTTAGATATAAACCTTCCTGTAATTTGTAGTATTTACATTGTGTTCATGTACTTCTTGTTGGTTGTTCTAAATAAATCAAAAAAATAAATTACAGTAAAATTACGTTCCTCATGTTGTGTTGTGGCACTTTAGACAGACTCACTTTCACTCGGCTAATGTTGTCACCGAAACAATAGCGCTGGTTTTCAGTAGGAATGTTTTTATGCATGTTTCAGTAGCATGTTAGTACTTCGGGAGGTAGCGCGTGGGATATTTTGCAGGTCTCTACTAATAAATGATAAAGATATTAGGAACTGTACAATTACGATATTCCTATTATCTGTTGAATGCCTCTTCTGTTGTAATTTTAGTAGTGATAGTGTCCCAAAAGGGTTAATTGTGCTTAAGAGAGAAAATTATAGCGATTCAAATGTTAGGAATCTGGTGTTTTAAATATAAATAAGACTTTCATAAAAAATATG